ATTCATTCATTCATTCATTTGTTTTAATCTTAAAAACCAATGTGTTCTCTAAAAGCACCCAGATAGGTAGGTAGTACCTCTTTAAAAAATTTTTTTTCTTTATTGATTAAGGTATTATATATGTGATGTGACATTTATCTTTCTCCGACTGGCTTATTCCGCTGAGCACAATGCTCTCCAGGCCCGTCCATGCTATTGCAAATGGAGGTTGTATTTTTAAACCTCACATCCAGGTGCCCTCCCTTCCTGGAAGGAAATGCTCTCTCTTGTTCTATTGTGGAAAGTGAAAGTCAGGGTCATCCATGCGGCCTGGGGGGCTGGGGGAGGGGGGCTGGGAGCTTTGCCTGGTCGGGGAGCAGGGACATACACACAGGCACGTGTTTCAGGTCCAGCAAGGCGCCCCGAGACCCAAGCCACGTCCCCCGCCAGCAGCCCTTTGCGTGTCCGCCAGCCGGTGACTCCGAGCAGGGGCCCGGGCCGCCCAGGGAGAGTCCGGGGCTGAACACGTCCAGGCCCACGGGTCTCTCTGGGATCCACGTTCACGGCACCGGGTGCTGGTCCTCCTCGCTCCCTCTGGGGAGCTGCGTGCCGATGGCTGGGAAGGCCCTTCCGTGGTTCAGAAGAACATCCCGTGAAGCGTCCTGAGGGAGGAAGCTCCAGTACGTTCACATTAGACCAGCGGTTCTCAACCTGTGGGTCGCGACCCCTTTGGCGGTCGAACGACCCTTTCACAGGGGTCGCCTAAGACCATCCTGCATATCAGACATTTACATGATGATTCATCACAGTAGCAACATGACAGTGATGAAGTAGCAACGAAAATAATGTTATGGTTGGGTCACCACATGAGGAACTGTATTTAAAGGGCCAGAAGGTTGAGAACCACTGCCTTAGATGATAGCAGTTTCTGCCCAGGAGCCAGCAGGCAGGGCTGTGAGCGAGGGGCGCTGTGCTCGAATGAAAGATGAATGAAACCCCTTGATCACGGGCCGCCTGCAACCCCTTCTCTGCAGGTTGTTGATTCCACGCCGGGCCCGGGGGACACGCCCAAGGGCGCCTGGAACCTCCTCGCTGACCCCCCTCGGGAGGCAGGCTGGGGAGCCAGGCCTGCCCAAGCCCTCGATGGCCAGACCCCACACCAGCGTGGAGCCAGGACCCCCAGTGACACTCCATAGAGCGGTGTTCGCCTCCGCCCCAAGGCCCTGGAGTCCAGCCCTCGGGCCACACGAGGCCCCAGAAATCCTCTGGCCTGGCCCTGCCAAAGCCTTCGGGGTGAATTATTAAATGTTTGAGCAAACACAGCAGGCTCGTTTGCAAGTGGATCCTTTTGTATGGCCCTTGAATGATGCTATAAACACCCAAATGGCCCCTGGCAGAGAGAAGGTTCCCCACCCCTGCCCTGGACGATGGAGTTGCCTCCCCTGGCACCTCTGGGCTGGGGGAGGCACAGGGGGGAGGTGGGGAGGGGATGGCTGTGGCCCACGCAGGCTCGGACCCAGTGCCGGGCTGGCTCCCGGGCCGGACAGGGGCTCCTACGATTCTGGGGGTCTCCGGTGACCAGACAGGCCACCACTTGGGGGTCAGGGGAAATGACTGAGGTCCTGTCTCCTCTTCCCGCTGCCTGCGGGTGGGAGTGGGAGGCTCCCATCATGCTGAGGGCAGGACGGCGTGCCTGGGCGCTCCCCACACCTGCGAGCTCCCCAGGGCAGTGGCCGTGGCTTGGGTGGCTCCCACGCCTGGCCATCGTCCCCAGGGCCTCTGCTCGGGGCCCTGCGTGCTGTCTCATCCCCATCACACAGCAGGGCCTTAGAGGGGGCAAGTGCTGGGCGTTCAGACGCTTGTACATCGCAGGGCAGCTGGTCAGGAGCCGGCCGTGACCAGCTGGGCACTGTTGGCCGTGTCACTGAGACCTCGGCTATGTACAGGTCCCTTCTGATTATTCGATGAGGGAGTGGGAGCTTGGGGAGCCTAAGTGACGTCGGTACAGACACACGGGGAGGGTGGAGCTGGGCTTGGACCTGGCTTCTCACTCCAGCTGGTCCCACTCGCTCTCCCCTGGTGAAAACCCAAAGTGGTCCCTCCTCCCCTCCCCTCCCCTCTCCAGGCCTCCCATTTCCCACGCTCACCTGGGCTGAAAAAGCCCGGGAATTCCCATGAGCCACCTTGGCAGGTCCCTCAGAGGACGAACTCGGTCCCTGTCCCCCCCCACCCCCCCGCCCCTCGCCCTCCCACCTGGCCGAGAGGGCACGGGGCGGGGGCCTGCACTCCCCCTGGCAGCCTCCCGCACCCTCAGGGGTGGGTAGGATTGCCACACTTAGCAAATAAAACATGGGCCACACTTGTACCAACAAAAATCTGTTGTTGACTAGTGTCTGACATTCAAATGTAGCTGGGAGTCCTGCACGCCCCCTGGCCCGGCCCAAGCAGGCTGCTGTCCAGGGGGACATGAGCCCTGGGAGAGGCTGGGAAGGAGAAATAGAGCCGGCAAGGGGGAGAGGGGTGAGGGAGGAGGGGGTGAGTCCTGGCTCCCCGTGTCCAGCCTGGTCCCAGTTCCCTCATGGGGAACAGCCCTTCTCCTGTGTCTCTCCCATGGGCGAAGCGGGCTGGGCTGAGGCCCCCAGGCAGGCAGGACGAGGCGGGGAGACCGGGCCCTGAGAGAGGCCCCTCCCAGAACAGAGGGTGGGGAAGGGGCTCCCAGCTCGGGGTGAGCCCAGGGCGCCGGGGCCGCCCACAGAGGAGGGACAGGACCTGTGCCCCCTGGCACGTGCTGCCCAGAGGAGTGATTCCGGGGCAGACAGGCGCCCGGGTGACGGAGGGCTGACTGTGTCCACAT